TGGTGGGTCTGGTTCAACCTAGAAGAGGCTTCTGCTCAGAGACAGCGCTTTGTGTTCAGCGCAGCCACTGAGCAAGCGAAGCTGCCGAGGTGAGCGCCAACTCAGACTTGGGATGGCCATCAGCAGAAGAGGCACTGGGCATGATGAGGACCCCCGAGGGGCGTGCCTAGCCAGACTACCCCCTCCCCAAACATCCCGCTGCCCATTGCAAACTCGGCGGTGCGCGCGCGTGCTTTCCCCGCCCTTTTCGCATCTGGCCACAGTAACAGAGCAGGCTATGGCTATAACTCGGATTAAATCTCTGTTTGTTGGCCAGATAGCCCCGGCTCCTCGAGTGACGCAAATAACAGATTCTATGGCTCGGGGGGGGGCCACCCCGCCTCTTTCCAGCTCTAGATCCCTTCCCCCTCCTCTTTCTTTCTCCTCATCTTTTTACTGCGCCCACGCATCCTGCTTGGTCTCCCACGGAATCAGCCAGCTACAGCTTCCCGGAGAGCAATGACCTGAGTTACAGAGAGACCTACAGACTCACAGGGCAGGGACGGATAAGCCTGAAATTGACCTGGAGCGTACACACACACACACACACACACACACACACACACACACACCAGCACAGGTAGCATTTGCCAATGACTAGTGCTGGGTGGTGGGAACTCCTAGAGGGGAGGGCCAGACAGTCTTTTTTTTCTTTACCACTAAGGAGGGAATCCGCCCCTACAAATAGATACAGCGGGGTATTGGTGAATATACAACTTTTCTTTCCATATGAGGAGGCAGAATAATTCAACAAAGGCTGCAGATGCTGTCTGCCCTTTGGAGGCCAGGAGAAGCTTTACTCTTAAATACCAGCATATTTTTTTTCCTTATTAAAATAATGACCCCAAAAATGCCTCAATGGATGAGCATTCTTTGCAAACCAGTCCGAATGGCCCTTGTTTCAGGACAGTCTCTGTGTGTCTCAGTGTGTGTGCCTGAATGGGAGGGGCTCCGAAGAAATGCCACACCTCAGCATGACAAAGGGTTTCTTGATCGATGGAAGTGGGGAGGGTTCTTAAACACTGGAAGGTCGCATAAAATTACACACACTCCCCTCCTCAGATGCACACAGGACTGGATCTGCCTGAATGGGTCTCTGCTCTGAAAATGGGAAAAACTAGGAAGTCAGAAGCTACACAGAGACTGAACCATCTCCTTTCTTAACCATAATTATCAACTTTCCTTTACAGTCCTTTTGCTGGATGCCAATGAACAATTATCCAGAGGTCACCAAGAGGATTTGGGTCACAAGGTCTGGAAAAGAAGGTTGTTGAGGCTATTATTGCCCTTCCCAAGCCCTCCTACTCTTTGTAACTTGACTTACATTTCTGTTTAAGCCCCAGCATGGCTTCTGTTTCTGTCTGTGCCTTACACTTGCCTGCTGGAGCGGGCCAGAGGACTTCTGCTCCACGCGGAGGACACCCTCCAGCGGCCCATCAGCAGCTGTTTATTTTTAGCTCTCTGAATGCACGCATGTATGTATGTATGCATCTGAGAATGTTGCTGCAGCGGGCTGGTGTGCAGCCAGAACAGTATCAATGAGAGGGAAGCAAGTGGTTCTTGTGCTGGGGGTGGCATATCACATGGGGCTGTCAGATGTGACCAGGCAGACATAAAACGCAGGCAGTGTTTCAATGAAGTAGTACTGGATTGATAAAAATGTCAGCTAAGTGTGTGTTTAAAGGCACAGAGGTACGTTTTCAGACATAAGATACAAGCACAGATGTGAGCTCATTCACAGAAACTACAGGTTTCTACACAGATGACAAACCATAGAGAGACGCATCCATCGTTGTGCTCCCTATGCTCTGTGTGGTGGTGGTATGCTGCTATGTTTGATTTGAGATCACGGAAAATTCATTCATAATTCCTGATCGTTTTCAGGAAACCCTAAACAATAAAGAGGTGGGGGTGGTCCTTAGGCCATGACCATGACAGCTTTGAGGGCAGCAGCTGAAAAATAGAATCTAACTGGGGCCACCTGGTGGAGTCAGTGGCTCTCCTTTGACTCTCTGCCTTGTTCTGCAGTGCTGCAGTCACAGGACTGACTAGATTGCCTGAGTAGGGCGAGGAAACACAGAAGCCACCACTGCAGAAAGTTGGTCCTCTACCATCCCACTTCTCCGCTCTCTTTTCCCTAGTCAGGTTCCTCGATGCACGCCTGGGTTGGAGTGGGTGACCTTGGCTTTCCCAGCTGTCTCATCATTCTTTGTTAAGGGCTCTGGTGCCCAACTCTTGTCTAAGCACTCAAACTAAAGACTCGGGGAATTAATAGACTGACATGGAGCCTGTCCAAGATGAAAACCACTCTGCATTTTCAACCCATCCCTGGGATCATGGGCACAAATTAGACTCCATTCCCCTGATGCTCCCCTCAGAGACCATGTAAAAGTAAGCTGTTTGTCAGACAGCCCTTGAGAAGAACTGATTCTCCTCTTTCAGGTCAGTGAAGCCAAGAAATATTTTGCCTAGGTCTCTTCTCTCCTTTCCAAACACCAAGGAAAATGGCGGTAGCTAAAATGCTGTGTATGGAACAGGAGAGATAAATGAGGGTCTCAGAAAACCAAGTTTTAAATACCAACTATACACCAGACATTGTAATGGGCGCTTACACAGAAAAGATGTTACTTAATCCTTACAGAAACTCTATGGGTGTTAGAATATTGACACCTACCTCATAGAATTATGAAGTAAAGAAATCACTCTTAAACTGTTGGTTATTATTACTTATTTTAAAGCCAATGAAATAGAGGTCAAAAGTTTAAATGGCGTGTCTAAAATCCTTTAGAGCTTGAATCTGCAAAAACCAGTGATCAGCTCCAATTCCCATCTGTATGGCTGCAATGTGTAGGGCCCATGCCACTCAGCACGCCTGCTCAACTCCAACTCTAATCTTCAGTAGTCAAGGTCTAGACTCCATTATTCAGAGGTAGATGTGTGTGAAGCTTTCTCAGTCATAACTTAATTCATAAAGCTGTTTTTGCTCCTTCTAGGGAGATCTTTGGAATCAAGAGACACCACTTATTTCCCTAGAGTCTGAGAGATGCTCTGCTGGGGAAAAGAACTACACCAATAGCAAAGGAGGCTCCAGCTAGCTCAGCCTCATTCCAAATAGGAGGGCTTTGTCTGAAACCAGAGAGAAGGGATGGAGACACACCAAACTTTCCATTCCATCCAGGACGCCTCACTTATGTCTCTACAGGGAAAGAAACAAGCCCCTTGGGTAGTGTCGGGGGGGGGGGGAAGTGTCTTCCAAGACAGCTGTCTTGGATGAGAGCCTGGAGTTGACCAGCCATTCCAGCTCTCCTTTAGAAACTGGTGCCCTGATCACATTCCTGACTCTGGAAACTTTAAAGACTGAGACATTAGCAGGGAGGAAAGTGAGGGGGAATAAGTCACACCATGCATAATATAAGTTATTCCATGACCCTTTTCCTGGTAAACACATGTTTTCACCACTTCACCTGATCAAGAGGTATGTCCAAACCAAGGGAAACATTTCTTAAAAGCCACTGTATTTGGAGGCTTGAGGGTGAATAGTTTAATGCCAGGGAAGTGATTAAGATTCCACACCCCTAACCACCTTTTCGTTGTTGTTGTTATCAGTGGTAAAAGATTCCCAGTTCTCTAGTCACAAGAGAGTATTTAACATTATCCAACTCAGGAACAGTTACAACAGTATCTGCACACAACTTCACTGTTAAGAGGCAAGCCCCTTCCCACCCTAATTCTAACTGCAAGGCACCTCGGAGAACCAGATGGTAGGGTTTCCATGCTTTGGCACTGAAAGGCACTTGTTATAGAATGAGGAGAGGGTCATTCAGAAATATCTAGAGTAGGTTTCATGGTGAGGATCTAAGCAAAGATTAAGCCAGAGCAAGCATATGATACGGAACGGAAGCTGAGGGGGTGGGGTGGAGCTCAGGAAGCCAGCATATTTAGAGGCCAAACAGATCTTCAGAAGCACAGACCACAGGAAGAAAAGAATGACCCGAGGGAAGCTTAGAGACACCTGTGAGAATCTAGCTTATGATGAACAGTGGACTATCTTCCAGAATTCAGCAGGCAGAGTCAGCACCACTGCAAATTCATGGGGCTCTAAGTGGGTCAGAATTAGCAGAACATTGTAGCCATAAGTCAGCTTTGCCATCAGCTGTTGATCTACTAAGGGTTTGATAGGCCAGAAATAATGAATGGGGGTTATACTTCTGTAGTTAACACCCCCAAAAGATCTAGGCTCTGGAACAGAGAGGAAGCACTGGCCAAAAATACCTGCTGAGCATTTGCACTTGTTGGCAAGCATCTATTGACTAATTGCTTTGAATTGTGTCATTAAGGGAGAGTCAGCTTACATGTGAAAACCTAGCATCTCCTAGCAATTCCGTTACTCCTAGATGTGGAAAGAAATACATTTATATTTTTTTTCGGTACTGGGGATTGAACCCAGGGCCTCACACATACTACATAAATTCTTTACCATTCAACTATAAGCTCTGATTTTTTTTGTTTTTCTAAAACATGTCTTACTAAGTTACCTGGGCTGGCCTTGAACTCATTCTGTGGGCCAGACAGACCTTGAACTGAAAGTCCTTGTGCCTTAGTTTCCCATGTAGCTGGGCTTATAGACATATGCCACCAAGACTTGACTCTTTTTTTTTTTAAAGGAGTAGATTGATATTCCCAACTCCTGATTTAGTCAGTCTTCAGGGTCTTCTCTGCTTTCCAGAATACTGTGGAGCCCCACTAATATTTACAGCTATTCTAGGTTCCCTGGCAGGGATCAAGCCAAGAAGAACTCACCAGAGGACAAACCTTGCTGTCTCATAAGGTGGGTCTTCATCAGCACTGGGCTTCTGAGATCACTACAAACCCCTCTAGACAATGTCACTTACCTCATCATCTGGTAGCCTGTGGTTTGGGTCTCCAGGGGAAACCTCTATAGTGAAGCCATCACAATGTGGTAGAATGAAATGCACATTTAATTGGAGAAAAAAATCTAGGGGATTCCATTCTATATTAAGGGGCAATTCAATTCAGAACATCTTTCTCCCTCTCCTCCTCCCTGCCCCCATATCCTTAATCAATCCCAACAGTCATGAATAAAGCTCCTTCACTAGGTCTCAATGGGATTAAGGGATTTCTGGTCTTCCCATCCGGTTTTAATGACATCACACTCAGCTATATTTTGGGTCTCTTCCCTGAGTGTGATGGCTCTGGCAGAGAATCTTGTGACTTCATTTAAGAAGAGGGAGGTTTTTCTCAGGTTTTCCTGATCAAGGGACTAAGTGTTAGCTGAGTCTGGGGTGAGGAGGAGACAGAAGAAAAGGGAAATAATGGTAGCCACCTGGATATGATTCAAAGGGGAGCTCTCCAGAGACAAAGCCATGTCCCATGGGAGGGACGGCTCAGAGAAAGAGCTGAGTGGATGACAAATGGAGAAAAGGCGGTCAGGAGGAGATAATTATGGCGAGGGTTAAGAGGAAGATGAAGGTGAGCAGCAACATTGCAGAAAGCGCGAGGCAAAGGATGACATGCGTCCTGGGTGTCTGAGCACTGCTCTGAAAACTCATCTGGTCTCCTCTTGGTCGTTCGTGCTCCTACAACAAGTGAGAGGAAAGGGACACGGTGTCAGCAGTCAGCAATTCATCCCTCACAATCCCCTGCAGGTATTCAGGATTAGGGCAGCCTCTCCCCCTCCTTCCCTGCCTAGCATTATTTAGACTTTCCTAGAGACAGAAAGAATGGGGGAGGGGAGGTGTTCAAAGCTACCGACTGTTGGGCAAAGGGACAGGCACCCTTACCAGCAGGTGGCCAAATATGTGTTCACTCCCAGCTGGCAAAATCTGGAACTATTCACCAGGAAACCCCACTTCTGGCAAAGTGGAGTTCATGGTTTTAGCAAGTCAAACTGAAACAGCTGTTTCTCCCACAGCCGCCAAAGGCTGGGGTAGTTCCATCATGGACAAATAGTTTTAGCTTGGACACTGTTTGGGCCAATGATACCAAACCAGTCACGGAGAAGGTACTAACTGTCAGCTCTATATTCTCAGTTGGCATCATTCTGACCCTATTATGACATCATGGCCTTTGGGAAAGGGTGGTTAATGGATGGTCTTGAGTTGGAAGAAGCAGAGTTGGGTGTGATTTGGAGACATGATCTCCTTGTATATTGTGACAGAGCCAGTGAGACTAGAGGCCAGCATCCCATCCAGGGCAGGAATGAGAACCCCATTACTTACCCATATCTCAAATATCTGGGAAGAATTAGTGTGGACATGCTCTGAGGTTCTCCTGGATAGGCTGAAAATGTGCACATCTTCACACTCATACGGCCAGGAGCACTGAAATAATATTTGAGTTTTTCCCAGGATCTTAGATAACTCTAAAAGTTGGACTGGTAAGAGACCTGCCCCCAAAAGACAAGTGCCCAGTGAAATTTCTAGTTCAAATGCTTAATGCCAAGGGAGGTAAATAGAGAAGTAATCTAATATGAGAAAGGGGAAATTCAGAAAAGGGTCTACATGTATAGCAAGAACATTTTTACAGTCTTTATTTCCCAAGATTAAAAAGCTCAACTTACTGGGTCTTGGTGGTTGCTTGATCAAAGGACAAAAACTCAGATCCCATAACCCACATTTTTGTGGCTTATGGCATCTCTAACTCCAACTCTAAGGGATATAAAGCCCACTTCTGGCCTCCATGGGTACCCATATCTACACAGCAGTAGAAATAACCCACCCCCTGCAATATTCTTTCCAAAAAAAAAAACTCAAAAAACAAAAACAAAAAGCAAAAAACAACAACCAAAAAAACCCAACAGTTTTAAACCTCAGTCCCAATCAACACCAAGCAGAAAGTCAGGGCTTAAGCTAATGCTGACTCCTAAAACAAACCCCAGAATTCCCTCGGTTGTTTAGTGTCTCAATTTGCACATGTACTGCAACCTGCCAGTCTTTCCTCCACCGACCTTCACCTGCAGAGACACTGGTGTGAGCATGTTCTGTAGGTTGGAAAAGGCCTCGTCTCTGTCCTGGAAGTTCTTTCTGGTCAGCCTGATGTCTGTTCTGCCTTCTTCAAGGTGGTGTAATAGAGGACAGACACAGACCTCTAATAAACTGCCTCTTGGGCTGATATGTTTTCAAAAGTGGGGCTGAAATGCTCTGGTACCCTAGAAAGGTTATGGAGCAATCTCAGAGCCTAAGTCTACCTCCTTATATTAGATGCTGAGGGAAAACTCCACTTCCCACTCTACATTCCTCCTTGGTTCTTGCTTCTCTTGAGTTTTTACTCCTAAGAATAATAAGGATCTCAAAGATGAAAATGCCAGGGGCTTGTTTTGTCCAATGTTTGATCTCAGTCACCTAATATGTAAAACTCAGTCTTGGAGTTTGGTAAGCATTAAATAAACTTATGTAAGCAAAACACTTAGCACTGTATTGGTGCCCAGTAAACAGCAGAATAAATTATGAAGGATGTAGAAGAAATCAGACCAAAGTGCTCAGAGGCTTCAAGTTAATACCCACAGGGCAGGGTGGGTATGGCTGTTATGGAATTTTACTACAGGACCAGTAGAGGGCACTCCGGAGTAAAATGGATTTTGTCTACATTTTCTTCAGTTCTTCATAAAACAAACCTCTGCTAAGAGGCTTTTTCACCATCAGAAATCTTCTTTTGTTTAGAGAAAATTAGAGACTTTAGGGATCTGACCTGGGTCTATTTTCAGAGAACATGTGGGTCTTGAACTTTGGTTCGGTCCCTTGTCAAGGTTCAACTCTTACGTTGAATGGAATAAAAAATATGGACTGAGACTCGAAGCTAACACATCTCTGGCCCTTGGAGTGTTGAGGGTTCTCTCATTTTCTACTCAGCCTCCTTCCACAAACAGCTAGATCACAGCTGCAAAGGGTATTGACAATTTAGAAACAACTTGTGACAAAGGTATCCTAAAGTCTAAATATTCCTCTGCTCCCCAGAAGATTTACACCAAGGGGGTTTTGTAGCTCAGAGAAGAGCATCAAAATGAAGGAAATGATCACTCCTACTTTGGGGGGCCTTTAAAGGGTGGGTGCAGATCCCTTTCAGACAAGAGACCTAAAATGGCCACCCAAAGCAGGATGGACTGTCCCCAGGCTTCTGAGCCAAGCTTTCCCACACTTGTTTCCTTTCTGAGATTCTTCACCAGTTAGCTGGCTTACCCAGGCACAGCTATTTTTCCACATTTATTTTCTAACTCACAGTTAATCGATTCACTAGTAGTAGCCCAAGAGATGAAGAGAGATATTTCTGTCTCTCTTACAAGTAACATCTGCTCACCACCTGAGTTTGATTAACAGTGGCCTCATTTCCTTTAGGGTACCCGAGGGACCCGGCTCCTCACCTGCTTACACAGAGCTTGGAAGGGACTCAGAAAGACACAAAGACTTGCCGTTCACAAAGGTTCAAAGTGTGAGATGAGCATTCTTTCTTTTCTGCTGGCATATCAAAAGTAGTGACAGGCACTGAGCGTCTACGCATTTCAGGACTTGTACTAGACTATGGACGCATCATCCCATTAAAACCTTAGCCAACACTGACAAAGGGGTCTTAATACAATGTACTTTTTCAGTTGAAAAAAACAAAACAAAACAAGGTACAGGGAGGTTAAAATACTTGTTTAAAGCCAAACAACTCTCATGCATAGTACTAGTATTGGGAAGTTTGAGCACTGGCTGGGCTCTCTAAAACAGACAATAATGAGCTAGCTTCAGGGTCAGGAAAGGTTTCTAAGGGTCAGCAGAGGCTGTGCAGGTGAGGACACACCGGCTTAAGGTCAAACCAAGACTGATGGCAGCGTGCGATGTCATGTCTTGCTCTACTAGAGCAAATGAAGCCTACCTCAGAGGGATATGTCTCAGTAGGGTGAAGGGTTTTCTCCCCTTTTTTCCCTCTGGTGGTCTCTGAGATACCTGACCAAGGCACACAGACAACAGGACTCATTATACTTCGGTTTTGGAAAATGCTTTGTATTTTCATAGTTTGGGAATGAACTGGAAAACTGACAACTGGGCCTTAAAAGAAAAGGTACTCTTTAGAAGTGCCATCACAAAGAGAATGGGAGCAGGTAATGAATGATCATCTGCCACCATCCCTGTTACTCCATGTATCCTTATCCTTCTCTGTGTCTTTACTGGGGTCTGCTTGCCCACTTCTGGTCAAGGGCAGTGTGGACGTCTTTGGTACAGAGGTTGGATCACTCAGGGGAAGCAGAGGTTGTATAGCTAACATCACAAGAGGCACAACTCCTTGGTCACAGATGACAAAGAGTATGTTTTCATCCCAATGAGCTTGGCTGCTTATACTCATCCTCTACTTCCTGAAGTTAACAGAAGGAAGCTGTCCAGTAAGATGGTGAGTTTCCGAAGGTGTGGAGGTAAAGAAAGGAACTCCAAGTGCCTGAGGACCACTGATTACAGGAAGATCGGGACCCAGACTCAGGCCCTCCTCTACAGAGTTAGCACCAAACAGCATTACCACCCTCATACAGGATTTGTGCTGGTCACATTTACAGGACATGTACAGCTCACACCAGCACAAGCACCAGATATTCTACTTCATGGGATAATTTGTTACCCTAGCTCACAGGTGTCAGTGGCTATGTGGGACCCCATTGGATTCAAAGCGTAGTTAGGTGACCAAACAAACCACAACTTTGGTTTGGATTACAACTTAGGATAGAGGTTCTCAACCTTTCATACAATTCCTCATGTTGTGATGACCCCCCAATCATAAAATTATTTTTGCTGCCACATCATAATTGTTATTTTGCTACTGTTATGAATCATACTGCAAATATTTTTGTAGATAAAGTTTGACAATAGGGTCACAATCCACAGGTTGAGAATCACTGACTTAGGAGAATCAGTGTTCTGATGGGATATGAGATTTGTTCTGCTGAGGGACTTGTAGTGCAGTGAACTCCTAGCTTCTTCTATGAATGCAGCATGTCCTCAGTGGGGATCAGCCTTTATGATGCCACAATTTTTAAAGTAGATATGCTTAACATTTAAAACAATATGAAAACTTGAGGCTGGAGAAATGGGCTGGTGTTTAGGAATACTGTTCTGTTCCCAGTACCCACACTGGGTAGCCCACGACTGTCTGCGACTCCAGTTTCAAGGAATCCAATGCCCTCTGTTAGCCTCTTAGGACACCCACACATATCTAGCATACATTTACACTAACTTATGTACAGAGAGAGAGAGAGAGAGAGAGAGAGAGAGAGAGCAAGAGAGAGAGAGATACCTTTTTTAAACTCTAAAAACTTAGAAGCCAGAAAACTAATGCAAAGTAGGAGACACTCTTGATTTGGTGACCATGTCTAGGGAGATGGTGAGAAAGGAGAGTAACTACTTTGATCCTCTCTTCCCTTATATCACGTCTTCTCATCATTTCCCTTTTTCCAAATGTATGGAAACAGAGTATGAAAAATGACAGGTAGGAGCAGATAGCCCTTGCCCTACACCAGGATCCAAAGTGCTGCAGCCAGAGGCAAGGTTGAGGCCACTCTCTGCAGATGTTGTGGCAACTTCTGACTCTATGGTTCTATTTTAATGGAAAATTATGTGAGTATGTGCATGTGTGCACATGGAGGTCACAGCACAGCATCAGCTATTGTTCCTCAGCAACTGACTACCTTGTTCTTTTTGAGACAGTCTCTCTCACTGGCCTGGTGCTTGACAAACAGGCTAGACTGTCTAGAGCCCCGGGGATCCCTGTTTTCTCCTCCCCTGTGCTGCAGTCATCATTACACATCACCACAACACTCCGCTGTTTGCTGTTGTTACAAGAGTGCTAGGAAGACCAAACCCAGGGTCTTACACTTGCAAAGCAAGAAACTAACCAACTGAGCCACCTCCCTAGTCTCTGGCTCTGCGGTTTTTAATACCAAGATGTAGGGTCAGAGTAAATTCTGTATTCCTGGGCCTCCTGACATAATGAGACTATGAGTTTCTAGTAAGAATGCTGTCATAAAAGTCTAGCCTCTTCACCAAGACTCTGTGGTCCTACTGC